CTTGGGCCCCCTGGCCGTCCTCCTCCTCGTCCTCGCTATCTGTGCTGCCTCCACTCCGCACACCTGGGGGCTGGCCCAGGTGGGGCCCCCTGGCCAGTTGGCTGCTCTGCCAGGCACCGTCCTCCCCATCAGACTCCCCAGAGCCCTGGCCCTCCTCCTCCTCATCGTCATCGCACTGCTGGATCTGGTCCTTGTAGCAGATCTCCAGCAGGTTGGTGTTGGGGTTCTCATCGAGGGAAAAGGTGATGTTGGCCGTCTTGTGGAAAGGTGCGTTCACACTTTCCTCCTGCTCTCCAAACTTGTCGTCGTTGAAGTCGAAGTGGTCGATGAAGGCTGAGGTCATGCGCTGCATCTGGAATCCATGAAGGCCTGCTGCAGCACGGCCTCCTCGGGAAAGTTGAACTCCTTGAGCCGGTCGTCCTCGTCGTCGCTGGAGGAATGCAGGTGGTGGGTGTTCACCAGGTCCACCATGTTCTTCTTGTTGGTCTCGGCCAGGGGTCCTGACATGAAGGCCTCCCACTGCTCCTGCTGCTCAGCCGACATCTCCTTCAGCAGCTGCCCCAGCTGCTCGGCATTGGGCTCCTTCTCCGTGTTCTGCACCAGGGCGTTGGCCATTCTCGTCAGGTGGCCCATGTAGCCTTTCCATGGGCCGCCTGCGGACTGCACGCACTCGTTCTCCTCCCAGGACGTCAGGATGCGTTCCACCAGGCGGCACTGCTGCAGCAGGTGTTTCACGCCGAGGTTGGGGGCGGGTATCTCGAGGCTGCTGTCGGCAGGGGGCCTGGCACTCAGCATGGCGCTCACACACACCCCCACTTGCGTGTGCAGGAAGTTGTTGAACACATAGTGGAAGAAGAGGTCCAGCATGGTGTTGGGCACGTCCAGTGCCAGGAGCTCCTGGGTCAGGGCTGCGTCATTGGCGCTCAGGGCACTGGCAGCAGCTTGACAACATGCAGCCGTGTGTTGACCAGAGGCGGGGCCAGGATGCCCCACGTCGTATGCAGTGGCTCCAGCTCCAGTGGCTCGAACAGGAGCTGGTGGAAGTGGGTGAGCCGAGGGCGCAGGGCGTGCAGGGCGCACATGCTGGACACGGAGCTGTCCAGGGTCGCCTGGCCCAGCAGCTCCAGCTGCCCGTCCACACTGCTGAAGAAGTTGTTCACGATCACAGACTCGGACCTGCAGCAGGGCAGGGTGAGGGCAGTGAGCGGCCCAGACAGCCTGTGCGCATGCACATGCGTGTGCAGAACACTCCTAGAGAGGAGCTTGAGGCTGCTCCCTGCCAGGACATGAGGGCGGGCCTGCGGGAGGCACCCAGGGGCCTGGGTCCCTCGGGTAGAAGCCCCACTGTGTGTTGGACAGTGACGCCGAGGGGCCCTGGGTGGGGACGCCAGCTGGAAGCTGTGGCCAGTTGACTCGGCCTGTTTCCTCGGCTGTCAGGCGGGAACAGGACTCTCTAGGACCACAGTGACCCCTGAAAGGGGCCATGCCCTCCAGGAGCCGCAGAGCGGGGAGGCACCCACCGTGGCCGCCTGGGCTCCAGCAGAGTCAGCAGCACCTGGACCCCGCTGACGAGCACGGACGGGTTCAGCTGCCCCTCCAGCATGTTGCTCAGGAGCTGCTCGATCGTCTCCTGCTTCTCCAGGGTAGCCAACACCTGGTCGGGCTCCGAGCTGTCTTGGACTTGGATCACCTGCTCCCAGCTCAGGCAGATGATGTCGCACAGGGACTGGGATGCGTTGGAATGTTGATTGTCATCCTTTGATGGATGGATCTGCTCGATGAGCCGCTGGACAATCTTCTCCTCGTTGAGCCGGTTGACCACTTCCTGCCTCAGCTGGGGCTGCTTCACGCAGGTGAGGAGCCACAGCAGCAGGTCCATGATGGCCGAGGTAGTGATGTGCTGCAGCAGCAGATCCACGAAGCCGTCCTTCTTCCACAGGAAGGACACAAGCTGGTCTGTCTTGCGGTTGATGAGGATGCCCATGACCTTGCTGAAGAAGCTGGCCAGCAGTGGGTTGAGGCAGCTGCTGCTCTGGAAGCTGTAG